CACCCGGGCCTTGAACACTGCCAGGGATGGGGCAGCCACAGCTTCTCTGGGCACCCTGTGCCAGCGCCTCAGCACCCTCCCAGGGAAGAGCTTCTGCCTCAGAGCTCATCTCAATCTCCCCTGTTACCAGTTATCTTTCAGTTTCTCATCACAGCCTTGAGCGAGTGCACTCAAGCTGCTTTCTTGTCAGAGCTGAGGTGTCTACAGCCAGCTCTGGTGTCAATGCTGGACTGCGGAGATGTGTCTCAAGAGAGGTCTGTCATGTCTCCACTCCTCTCTGTGTCCCAAGAGTGCAGCTGTCTAGTTGTCTCGGTGTGTGTTTTATATATATATATATATATATGTGTGTGTGTGTGTGTGTATATACATAAAACCTATGCTGTCAGCCTCCTCTCTGGGATCATTTAGGACATCAACCATGAATTCAGAAGAAATGGCTCCTAGTCCTATTTCCACAGTGGACAACACCTCTTCACCCCTCAAGGGATAGGTCAAAAAGAAATAATCATGTAAAGAGAGGTTAAAATAGCACCAGCAGTAATGTCAAGGACAAGGCTGAGGAAAACTCAAGGTAAACAGGAATAGCTTTCCACAGATTCAGTATCCAGCCCTTTACAAAGCAACAGATGATTCCTTTCTCATTTATGCCTAGCTGTAAATATTTCATTGACTCTTCTCTCACTGCTGAGTAGCTTTAATGGCATTTACTTCAGTAAAGTCCTGGGCTGCTGTAAATCAAGGACTGTTCTAGGCTACTCACCATGGTCATGGGCAAAAACAAACAAGTTAAGTCCTGTCAGCTTCTGAGCCAACTCATCATAGCGGCCGCAGTGCTCCCCAGCGCCGTGAGCGATGAACACGAGGGCCCTAAATGGAGCATTAAGGTATAAATCATTAACTTGGCAATCAACCCACAAAGGTTTCAGAGCTGCAAGTAAAACCAGCACATTTAATCCAGCAACAGCATTTCAGACATCGGCAAACGCAAGGCAAGTATATAATGGCTGAGGTGGGTTTGAACAGAGGGGGAAACGATTGACATCCTGATCTACCATCACCCTGGTCCTCACCAGGTGGTAGTAGGACAGACCACATGGAAGTCAGCCCCTCGTGGGACAGTCAAGCTCTTTCCCATTTATCTGCTGCCATGGTCTGCTGCACACTGAAGATGCAGATGGGCATCAGCATCAGTCCTTGAGCTGGATAACTCCATCCTGGGCTTGAGGTGTCTATGCTGCTCCTACAGTGTAAGGGCAGCCATTGATTTATTTTGGATTGGTATTTCTCTGTGGTTTCACATGTAAATACTGTCTTCAACTTTATAACTTGCTATGATGTCTGATGCTACAGGGCACTCTAAACAATGGCATTTCAAGTAAAGCAGAGACAACTTTGGTTGGAGTTTGGAATTTAATCTTCTGACCCCAATACTGGTGATTTTACCATTCCAGTTACTGCCCCAAAGCAGTTGATTCCCTTTGATGATTAGAGTGACTCTTGCATAGCCACCATATGACTACAGACTGGGATCACACAAACAGTCTCACAGACACTTCCTTTTGATAAACACACAAATATTTATCTTTGGAACCTTCAAAGATTCAGCTTTACCAATTTTACTGGAACGGCGTCAAGCGTGAGTGACTGAAGTTGAAGGAACTTTCCAGGTGTTTTTCCCAGGCAATGTTTGCCTAGGATTAGACCAGTAGAAGTAGCAATGAAATTACAGAAGTTTGCTGAATTTCACTGGTGACTATTTAAAATCCAGTTTTGTCATGAGAAATATGATTTGTTTGTTTAAAAGTATCATCTGTCACTGCAACATCAGCAGCCACAAAACAGTTCGAAGGCTACCAGTTAGACATTTTCAGTACATTAACAGGGAAATACTCAATGAACTGACAACATAAAATAATGGCAGCAGTCTACAGCTAGTGAATTCCTCAACTTTATTGTGACTGAGGTTTTGAACACCTTCTTAGACAGTGTATTCACTGCAATAAACCGCTTTGATCTTAATATATTTAAACTTAAAGAAGGTGTTGGGTGATGAAGAAAGTCCTGCTCTAGCTCTTTGATTAGTACCTGCTTCACAGTATTGCTCACGCTAGACAACTTGAAAGAGAAGTCATCAGAACCAGAAGGATTTTAGAGAGCACACTGCAAACACAAAAGCAGACCTGCAAAGATGCTCTGGTATCTGTCTAATACTAATTAGCAAGGGTGAGGTTAGGTCATGTAGCACATTGAATTTGTTGTGCTGTACAAATGTTCTGTAGTATCACTGAGGGTTTCAAAAGAGTCAGTGTGGAGCAGTCAGTTCTTCCTGTGCCATCTGCCCTCATCAGTAGATTTGTCAAGTTACCAGTGCACGTGCCAGACAGGCTGATTTTCAGGGTGCAGCATCTATTACTATAGCTCCAAATACTGAAGAAATGGAGACACTGCTCCTTCCACAGTGGAGAATATGAACTTTCTACAGCAGAAGCATCACTGCTTTACATGTCCCACTTCTCTCAGATGCAGGCAGCCCTGCAGAGACACTGCAGCGGGTGCTGGGACAGCCATTATCCTATGCACACCCCTGAAAACCAGAGGCACCATCCAAATGCTTCTGCCTCCACTTACCTGTAGTGGTCTTGAACCTCAGCCCTGGTCCTGGGTCACCTAAAGAGACATCACAGTCTCTGTGATGTCTCCAGTGTGGGGCTGACGGACGTGCCAGACATTCAGAAACAGCAGCCAGGCTGTTAAACTAAGGCAGACTCTAAGGCAATGTGAGAAAGAACCGTGCACCCATCACGTTGATATCCAACACAGCCAGGTGAAGTTTCTCTGCTGTATAGATCCTATTAACTGGCTCTTGACAGCTTCCCTGCTCAGTGTCTTACTGAAGCCCTCAGTTATTCTTCAGAGTTTTTTCTGCTGACTAGGCACAGAGATTAAGGTGCAGCTTGGCTGACTGAATACAGCCCTTTATTTCTCAGAGAAACATTATTTGAATGTATGCACTGAAATGCATCAAGTGAATGAAACCTAAAGGGAAGCTGGCAAAGAGATCTCTGCCAGGAAATTCTTGCTGTTATTTCATCCCCTCTGACAACAAAGCCCTAATTTTGCTTTCATTCCCACTGCTGCAGCACCACGACTTTGCCTGACAGCATCCTGCTAGATGCTCAGACCCCTCATCTCACTGGGAAACCACTGAGAACAGAAAACCTCAGTGCTTCAAAGGGGCAAGGTGTTCCTTCACCCTCTCCTCTCGTCTAGCACAACAATAGTAGATGTCACAGAACTCAGCCTTTGGACACCGCAGGGAAGAGACTTGGGTTATTATTTGCCTGCAAAGCACTTGAATAAGATTCCTGGGACTGCTTGTGCCTTAAGAACCCCAGTGTCAGTAGCTGTCAAAAAGATTTAGATGCTTCTGGAAGTTTTGCCCTATCAATAGTCATAACCAAGGAGTAAATTCTCCGAACTCTTATGCTGCGACAGAAGTAGCTTGTTTCGTTGTTCAGTAAAAGCATTTATGCAGCTCTTCAGCTCCAGCTTTCGGGCGGGAGGGTCTGAGCACAGGGGCCATGCATTAAACACAAAAGCTTGAGAAACTGAAATGAGTGCGAGTAGCATCTGAGCAAGGATTGAAGGATTCAGTTCTTTCACCTGATCTCCATTTTCAGTTACAAACAAGTTTGGATTTGGCAAATAATACCTGAAAGCAGTATAACAAATACAGGGTTCATCAGATTCTCACTAGCAAGTTGGCACAAAAACACAAGAAGCGATGAGATGACTGACAGCAGTTCCTCGCTGTATGTAAACATATTGCAGACACCCCCCTGCTCTCAAATGGCAGCCTGCTCCTTCCTACCACAATGGCTGGAACAGCAGAGTAGCTGAGTCTGCTTTTAATGAAGTCATGTGAAATTAATCCAGAATCCCTGGGGGCTTTAGGATGCTGCAGGACTGCAGTGCCTCTGTGTGTGACCTCGGTGGGAATTTTGCTTCAACAAGGTTTGGGTATTGGCCATGTAGCAAATGGATCCTGGGGAGAAACTTCTTCACCTCCAGCTCCTGCAATTGCACTGGTGAAATCCTTGGAAATGGGTCCATCTCCAGTAGAAAGCATCACACAGATCCCTCAAAGCTTTCTGGTGCAGACTGACCCGTGCCTGAACCCAAACTAATGCCGGTCTCTCCAACCGCATGCCGGGAAACATGATGCATCTTTGGAAGCTTCAGCTGGCTTTAGCTGGTGGAACTGTAGTTGCTGAACATCTCAATACAGCATTGCTCTGGCATCTGCTCAAGGAAGCACTTAATCACACCACAGCATGGTTTGCCCACACTCGGCAGGTGTGTCTCCGCACAAAGCCAAGGTGTGAGCTGAGAATGAGTAAGCATCCATGTGCTTGCTCCCACCTAACTGGTGCAACAACAATTGTGGCTATTAAAGGAAACCAGTTTATGGCCTGCTGTTTACAAAAGCAACAGGCAGTTTTCACACATCCTGCCCTTCCCATAGCCTTCACCACCTCCTCCCCCTCCCTCCCCACCACAGGTTTCTGCCTCCAGGTACTGCTCAGCTTGGGAAACCGATGCTGTTACTTATTACAAGAAGTCAGCACAATTATTTGTCTTTACTGTTCAAGTCAACCTCCAGCTGTGCCCACTTATCTCCCATTAGCAGGTGATGGTATATAGCATCATAGAATCAGAATGATTTGTGTTGGAAGGGACCTTAAAGCTCATTCAGTTGGCCAAAACACAGCCCAGGACTTGGGTCCTGCTGGGCATAAAGGCCACATTCTTGCTTTATTTTCAACAAAAATCATGTTAAAACTGATCTAGATGAGGAAGTCTGTGCATGTTTTTATATATGTGTATGATTTCAACATCTTGTTGTGTGTCTTCTGGGGATCCAGCCACTTCTGTGGGACCCAGTAGATGGTCTTTTATTGCCAGAAAATAACCCAAAACACTGGGACTGAAGTGAAGAACTGAAGACAACCTTCCAATGGCTGCATGTACAAAATATGCAGTCTTTTCCACCCCATCCAAAAGCATCCCTTTTCAGAACCATGTTTCAGTACTTGCTTAACCTCAGGAAACTTTCTTCAACTCATGAAAGTGAGTAGGACTTACAAAGTACAAGAAGAAAGTTAAAAAAGGATTTATAAATGCTGTCCTGAGTAAGGACTGATTTAATCACACCTGGAAGTCATTTCCTGAATCAAGCCCTTGCAACTGAAGATAATACCATGTTATTCTATGTAAGACAACTATGCTTTTCATTTGGTGTTATGTGTGTTGTTACCAGAACCAGACCAGCTCTAACAAAGAACATCTGACTTGAGCAGATTTCAATACTTGACACTAAATTCCTAAAGTAACTGGCAGCAAAGCTCCAGGTCAGTGAAGTGGCCAGAAAAATGAGTGCCCCACTGAAATTCAGTACCACATTTTGGTGTGCTGTTTGAACTGACGCATCAGTTCCTTTGTAGCCGGCAACAGCCTGAGTCTTAGAGCCACAGTGAACAATTAACCTTTATTTATCAGAAACATTTCACTGGTGCCATATTTGGACAAGCAACTGGACAGTTGCTCACAGCCCTTTATAACTTGTTAAAGATGTCATGCCATGTATGTATATTTTGTTTTCAAAGTATGTTATAATGGAAAATCAAAGTTGTACGTTCATGTGTCAGCTGGGTTAGTGTCCTCACTGCTGATGATTAGTTATCTTTCACATAATAAGATTATGCGTTAAGCAGCTAGTAACATTGTTGAGCTTTAACTGTCATTCCCATTTTTTCATCCTTAGTATTTGGTTAAGGATTACATTTTTTTCTACATACTAATAATAA